ATTATTATTATTATTATTATTATTATTATCTATTCCTTAGATGATGAGAATCTAGGTTGCTTACAATTCCTGGCTGTTATGAAAAGGGAAGCAATGAATAAGGTTGAACAAGTATCTCTGTAGTAGGGTATAGGGTCCTTTGGATATATGTCCAAGAATGGTATGGCTGTATCATATGGTAGACAAATTTCAAGCTTTTTGAGGAATCTACACATTGATTTCCACTGTGGCAGCAACAATTTGCATTCCAATCAATAGTGGATAATATTTTCCCTTTCTCCACATCCTCACCAGCATTTGTCATTGTTTTCTGGATTTTTGCCATTTTGAGGGTGGTAAGATGAAATCTCAAAGTTGGTTTTAATCTGAATTTGTCTGATGACTAAAGATATTGAACGTTTTAAAAGTAATTCTCAGCTATTTGTGTTTAATCTTTAGGGAACTCCCTGTTCAGCTCTTTATTCCACTTTTTAATTGGGTTATTTTTTATGTTTAATTTTTTATGTTCTTTGTATATTCTAGATACTAACCCTCTGTCAGAGGTACAGCTAGTAAAGAACTTTTCCCATTCTGTAGGTCATCTCTTCACTCAAATGTTGGTGTCCTTTTATGTACAGAAGCTTTTTAGCTTCCTATGGCCCATTTATCAATTTTGGACCTAATGCCTGCACTATTGAGGTCCTGTTCAGAAAGTCATTTCCTGTGCCTATTAGTTCCAATGTATTCCTTTTTCCTCTATCTGATTCAGGGTATTGGGTCTTATGTTGAGGTGCTCGATCCTCTTGGAGTCTAGTTTGTGCATGGTGACAGATAGGGATCTAGTTTTGTTCTTCTACATGCCCTTATCCAGTTTGACCAGCACCAATTGTTGAACATGCTGTCTTTTCTTTAGTGTGTAGGTTTTGCTTCTTTGTCAAAAATCAGGTTGTTGTAAATATGTGAATTTAAATCTTGGTCCTCAGTTCTGTTCCACTGATCAATTTTTCTGTTTTTATGCCCGTGTCATGCTGTTTTTATTACTATAACTCTGTAGAACTATTTGAGATCAGGCATGGTAATGTCTCCAGCAGTTCTTCCATTGTTCAGGCTTATATTGACTATCTTGGGTTTTTTGTGTTTCCATAGGAAATTTGCAATTTTTTCCCCATTTCTGTGAAGAATTGTGTTGGAATTTTAATGGATATTTGCATTGAATATGTAGATTGCTTTTGGTAGCATGGACATTTTCACAATATTAATCCTACTGATCCATGAGTATACAAGGACATTCAATCTTCTGGTATCTTCTTAAGTTTCTTTCTTCAGTGTCTTAAAGTTTTTATTGTGCAAATCCTTCACTTCCTTTGTTAGTTTTATTCCAAAAGGGTCTCATAAATTTATTTGTTTCTTGGTGTGTTTGTTGTTGGTTTTAGGAAGGATATTGATTGGGGTTGTGTATTAGTCACTTTTCTGTCATTGTAATAGAAACATCGACCAAAGCAACTTATGGAAGGAAGAGTTTATTTAGCTTACAGTTCCAAAAGGGCAAGAGGCCTTCATGGTGGGGAGGCATGGTGGTAGAGGTGGCTGGAGGAAGACCAGAAGCTAAGCTCTCACATCTTCAAGGAGGTATAGGAAGCAAGAAAGCAACTCAGGATCGGGCAAGGCTTAAGAACTCTCTAAGCTGGCCCACAGTGATGTGCTTCCTTCAGGATAGCCACACCTTCTAAGACCTCCCAAAGCAGTGCCACCACCATCTGGGGACAAAATGTCCAAATACTTGGAGCCTATAGGGGACATTCTCATTCAAACCACCACAGGGTGTTAATTTTATATATTTCTACTTCACTGAATGTATTTATCATCTCTAGGAGTTTTTTGTTGGAGTCTTTAGGATCCTTTATGCATAGAGTCATATCATCTGAAAATAAAGATTGGACTTTTTTCCTTCTGATTGTTATCTCTTTTATCTTCTTCATTTACCTTATTGTTTTCATTAAATCTTCAAGTACCATATTTTATTTATATTTTATTTTATTTTTAAATCACTTAAGATTATATAGTTTTATAATTTTTCAATTTTTAAGTTCAACAGTCTAATCAAAATATCAGTACATCAACTTACTAGTCTCTTAAATGATTCTAGGCATGCAAACCTCATAATTGAAGCTCTGTTCAAAAATATGTTTAAGTGTATTTTCCAAAGGAGCAATATGGAATTACATTTTAGAAAATCAAAATGGCTAATTATGTAATTAAATAATGAAAATATTAAAATAAATCTTTAATGTAAAGAGTAAACTCAGTGTATTACATGTACATATATTTGTAAATGTATATACATATATATATAACAATAATAAAGATGAGAACTAGAAGCTGAGAAGGAGTGGGA